GCTTGACGTCACGCCAGAGAGCTGAATGAACAAAAGTGATGATTTAATGACCATAAATGCAGTTAAGTGGATCCAACTGCAGAACATGAGATGCTTTATGGACTGCAGCCGATCTGTGGAAGTTCAGGGATGTGCAGAAACGCTGAAGGGGGGAAATATTGTTTTTATTGTCATGGGAACACAGTCGTCTCACAGTATTAACATTCATTTCTGTGACATGAACACGGAGCATAATTTGGGCCGCAGTGAATCACTTAAAATCATTATGTTTGTAGGAGCGGCGGAGCTTAACAGCAGAGCCACGGCGCCCTCTGCAGGTGAACAGAAGAAGCGTTTTTATCTTCCGGACTCTAAAAGAGAAATTCACCTTCAGCAGCTCTTAAATGTTTTTGTTGATGTTGTTGGGAAGGACTGCTGGAACATTTTCTCTCTATCAGCTCAGTTGAGACATAAACTCCAGGTGTAAAAATTGGCTCCCAAACATGCACAGATGCCCGTCTGTGGCGGCAAACAGCAGCTTCACGGCAAACACTGTCATTAAAATCCCTGAAAGAGACACGAGTCTCATTTCCTGTCAGGAGAAAATCCTTTTAAATCTAATACTTCCAGGTGTTTAAATGAATTTGGTGGTGTTCTGTTTGTAAAGTTACACTGTCAAAAATCAGAAGAGAAAATGAGGGTTCATCTTTCAAAGTCATATTTTCACCATCTTATTCAGTAATTTAATAAATCCCACAGTTTTAAACTAAATATTTAGTTTTTTAAGCTAATTAAATAGCAAACTAGTTATCTTGCTAAGTAGCAAGCTATCTAGTTAACTTTATAAATAAACAATTGAGTTGGTTTGTTAGCTAAATAGCTTACTATTTAGTTTGTTAAATACTAAGTTATTTAGTTAGCAGTAATTTGCATATTGGCATAAATATGTAGCTAAATATTTAGCTAATATGCAAATTACTGCTCCTGAATATTTGAATTTGACAAAATTAAGTTTAATCTAAAAACTGAAGTTAAGAAAAACTATTCAAAATATAAAAAAACTCTTAAGACATAAATAAAAATTTTTAAATTACTCTTACCTTGAACACATTTTTGTTTTTCAGATTTCATCTGACATTCAGTTTCAAATAGTTTTTTAGAAAAATGCTGTAATTATGACCTTTCTTTGGCTCCATAGTGTTGATGTTCACAGAAAACCTCCTGCTGAATAAAAATCTGAAAGATGATCTTTCATGTGAGAGGAAGTAAACTAACTCAAAGAGAGGCAGAGGAGCCACTTCCACAAAGGGGGTCCTTCTCACACACTCTGTAATCAATCACATTTCTTCCCCTTCATTCACACAACCTTCACTGAAGCTTTGCACTAAAACGTCTTTGCCATAAAAAGCCAATAAAGGTTATCGTATGAGCAAAGCCTGATGAGAGGGAACCTGAATGCACCACGAGAGGCGTTTCGCTAACGACTAAATGTGCACAGAAAGTGGCTGTAAATTAGAGGAAGGAAAGAAAACACACAAAGGAAAAACACACAAAGAGAGTGAGAGGGAATGATTTTGGCTCCTGGAGTGAACGAAGCTCCGACAAAGAGCGGACAGAATAAGACGAAGAAAACCACAAAATATCTTCAGCCTGGCTTTTAACTGTTTCTTGAAAGCATTTCGATAAACTAACACTTGTTTGTTTTCAAATAATCTAAGAAGAAGCAAGAAAGCAAATGGATGTAAAAGTAGGACAGAAAGCGAGAGTTTTCTTTAAAATGCTAATGTTGTTCCGTATATCGACGTGACTGAGTACATGTCCGGTTCAAATAGGACACAGGTGTTTCACTTCACCTCAAACAGCTCAGATTCTGCAAACTGTGCAGCCGTAACACGAGTTTTCCTGGATTTTACCCCTGAATTCCTGAGAAAGGTTCTAAAAGCAGAATGATGTCACCTCATGTGCTGCTGCTTTTTCACTGAAGCTAAGTTCACACAGCAGCTAAACGCAAACTGAATCTGATTTACGATCCATATGAACTGGTTCACTGCAGTCTGAACGACTCATTTCCAATCTTTTTACCCCCAAAAAATCCAATTTATGCCACTTCCATCTGCACAACTCAACTGGATACATGCATTGTTTCTTTAGGTTTCGCCAACTCAAATTTAAGACTTTTTAAGACCTTTTAAAACCACGATGGGTGAAATTTGAGGCCTGGATTTACCCAGACTTGTACTGACTTTTTCCATTTAATTGTTGATAAATTACCCATGATAGACACAGAAAAGCTATCTGGCTAGCAATAGTATATTAGCAGCTAATTAGTAGAAGTCTCAACTACTGCTACCTGTTTCCATATGCTAACATAAACTGGATACATACATTGGAGTTTTTTAGATTTCACTAACTCAAATTTAAAACTTTTTAATGTCTTTAAACACAATTAGGAATGAAATTTTAGACCCTCATCTCCACAGAAAAGTACAAACTTTGTCCATCCAGCTGCTGATAAGTAGCTAACACACCTGCTAACTATGTATGTTAGCAGCTAGTTAGCAGGAGCTACAACATTAATCCTCTCGATTGATGTGGTTAAATTATGAGATGCACATTTTTAATTGTTATTTTACCACAATAAAAACCAACTGAGATTAAAAACATCTTTTGCAAAGGAGTCCAGGCCAAGAGGCAACGACAAACACAAAAAATGATACATTTAAAAGAAAATGAAGGGAAGGTGGTTTAATTGTTTATTTTCTTGCAAATTTCCAACTTTACAACTAATGACATTTACTCAATTACTTTTACTTGAGTAATTTTATTTCAAACTATTTCTGCTCTTACTTGAATAAAATTTCTGGATTTTCTACCCACTGAATGAAAAACAAACATGTTTTAAACAAAAATTCACCAACACACAGACACACACCTGCAGATTTTGTTAAAGTTTCATCTGTTTTTTTATTGAAAGAAAAAAACCTTTTTGTACATATTTTTTGTTACTTATGTGAATTATTGTCATTTTGGTCCTTAAAATACTAAAATTCCCACTTAACTTTATATTTCGGTCCATCTGATGATGGACCATAATATTTTAAATATTTAGTGATTGATGATATGATCAGTTACTTGGTACCTGAGTAACTTGTTGGACGGCTACTTGAGGTATTTCTACTCTAACTTCAGTTTACGTTTTGGATATTCTGCTCACTTTTGTTTCCATCTTGAAATTAAACTACAAATTTCTCAATTTTTTGCAGAAATTTGCTCCTTTTTTCTTCCTTTATCTAAAATCAATGACCCTATTACTCTGATAAAGTATAAAATTAAATATTAAACATATCAGCAGCTCCAGAGTGTCTCGGTTTTGTTGTGTGAGAAACGTCAGTACTGAAGTCGGAGCTGTAACTCAGCTTGTCCTCCGTCTCCCGTCTTCGTTCTTCACTCAGTTCATTCACAAACCATTTGTTTGTCAGCATGCTACAAAAACTTCACTTTCATGTCAGTGTCATAAATCCTCTTTCTTTTGCTTTTTTCCATCCCCTGACAAAAACAGAGAAAAATCTCAGGTTTTTGGATAGTCTGCTAGCAGTATGTTTTTTACTTTTTGTGCCATAAAGGTAGCTTTATATTCACAACAAAGGCGAGTGTCGCAGTCTCCAGAAGCTCTGAAGGATCTGTGGCGTTTTATTGTTTGTGTTTTTACACAACATACCAGCGGGGTTCGCCGAGACTGGGAAGGCGGTAACCTCAGGGAGTCGGAAGTGGCAGCGACAAACACTCCAAACGAAAGAGAAAAGGCCTCAGCGGTGGGGAACAGAGAGGCTTTTTTCAGCCAGCGTCTCATATCTAACAAACTCAGGTAACCAAATATTAAAATCAGCCACTCTGACACACTTCAGACGGGAACAAAACCCTGATTCGGTTTCCGCGCCGCATAATAGTTCCTTTTGAAGAGCACTCAGAAATCCCTCTCCGCTCCGGAAGTTTCTACATCCACTTTCTCAAACTTGTTCAAAGCTTTTTATTTTTCAGCTTTAGAGAATTTTCTGAGATTCATCACATGAGCTGAGTCAGCATTTAACTCCTAATGGTTCCAGTCGCCTCAGTAAGGAATCATATTTATAAATGTTGTGACCATAAATTCAGTCATTAATTATTTAAATTTCACTAAAAAGCAAAACTAATAACGACAACAACAACATATTTATTTTTTAAATGTTAATTGATTTTGGAACTTATAAAAACAACAACAAAAACTGAAAAAATCTACCGTCAGCGCTTCGTTTGGGATTCCCCCGGTAGAATTTCTAACCGGCCAATCAGCGAAGAGAATGCCACGTCCTGATCGATGACGTCGATTTCCTGCGCCGTTTTGGATTTGTAGTCTGCCTGTAGTTTTAACACTGCCAGCGGAGAAAGTGAAAGAAGCGGTTCAGTCCGAGTTGGCGACGCTTATTGAATTACAACATTAACGGCCCCCTTGTTCGGCTCGGCGCTTCTCTCTTCGCAGTGGAGGACGGCTGTTCCGGTAACAACGGCAACTTCCGGTAAGCTTATTGGCGTCAAACTAGCGCAGACGTTACATAGAGTAAAGCTAAATTAATCCAAATTATTCTGACGGATTCAAAAAGAAAATATCTCTTAAGAAGTTCTGTCTCAACTCGGATTATCAAAGAATGATGGTTTTGTTTGGTTTGTTTGAATTTGGACAAACTCATTTATTGTTTTATACTGAAAACTGCACAGAAAACATCCAAATAAAAAGACCCTTTACTATTCTTAAGGGTTTAAAATCACCATAAATTGTTGCTTTGGGCTTTTTTCGGCAGCATATTTAATTTCTGCGTTTTAAATATTGCTTTTATTTGGTATTTACAAATATGCAGTGCTATTAAAACAAGAATGTTAAATATTCAAGGCTAATCTATTGACTCTTTTTGGATTGACGGATCAATAATTGGACATATTTTGGAACATATTTATAGACAAAGATGTTTATTTATTTATTCTTTGTACAGTTTTGTTTAATTACTGCACTGGCTGTAATGTTCTGTCAGCAAATCGCCTGTTTTTGAGTCTTTACACTCCAGTTAACAATTAATCAATGACTAAATTAGTTGACGATTATTTCGATTCATCATGATTAATCTAAATTGTTTCAGCCCTACAAGATATAAGAGCTTCTTTCAAGTCAATAATTTCTTAAATTTGTAATTTATTTTATGAAATATAATCTTAATCACTGAAAGTTCTGTTTTAGCCTTTCATATATTTAGTTTTTGCTCTGTTCATTGAATCAGAATTCAAATAATTCACATTAAATGTGGTCAGTATCCAGCTGGCAGCAAATCCCCTGAATATGAATGAAGCGTTGAATTGTTCACACCGCTGTAAGTCTTCTGAAAGGACAGTAAGGATTGATGAAACTGGAACCAAACGGCCAAACGAGCACATAAAGCAGCATTAACGTCGCTCCCTGCTCACCGCCGCCTTCCATCACCACGCCGTCTGTGGCATATTTACTGTACCTCATCTTACATGCGCTTTAATAAACACGTACTTCATCACGCTCACGCGTCCATGTGCAGCTGACAGCCCGCGAACGCCACATTGTTCCACCAGCTAACGGAGTGGGAATGGCTGACACCATGTTGACAGCGAAGGGAAGAAATAAAGATGTCAGCATGTTGAGTTTGACTTCATTGAACGTAGTGTAATAAAAGAAAACAAAGAAAAATGTATACAAAAGAAGAACAGTAGTAAAGTATACTTACATCCACTGTATTACTATTCATGTTAATTTAGTTATAACGTTTCTTCTTGCACTAAAAATTATTATGAAATTTACATAAAAACTGTAAAATCACAACAGAAAAATATTGCAAACTAGAAAACAAAATGTTTATGCTGTTTTTACATCAACAATACGAGTGTAATCAAATTTATTTGTTGATACTACAAATGAACGTTAATAAATATCAGTAAATTAGAAAATGTGATTAAATGCAGTTACTTTGTGCAGTTTAGTGATATAACACACTTTTTAAAAATAAAAATGATAATGTTTTTCAAGGCAATATTTATGTCACAACCATAAAGTTACCTATAAAATAAGTAATAATTTTTGTTTTGTTTTTTAACATGATCAGAAAAGTAGTAACGTTAAAATTTTATCGCTCAAAAGAACCCATCCAATGTTTTTGTTTCCTAATATGCAAAATTCACTTTTTAGACGTTTTTGTAAATATGTTTGTTTTTCTACTGCTTCTAGAAACAGTCCAACCGCTTTAAAAAAAACAAACCGTT